TTGTCGAGTTCTTGTGTGTTACAGCGGCTGAAGTTGGATTTACGGCACCCAACACTTCCAGCGATTCAGATGTGGTTAGTGGTGCTGATGGAGGCGGCTCTTTTCAACATTGAAGTAGTTTTACAGACAGATCAGAACCGAGTCTAGCTGACATTTAAAGGGGATGGTTGTGTTATATCGTTTTAAAGTCACCGGTCATTGCAGGATTATGAGTTTATCTGTTAATTCGTACACAACACCTTTAATCAATCATTTGCAAAAATAATATCTGTTCCCGTTTGTCCCTTTTAAAGAGCTAGGTCAAAGTTTGTGTTCCTCAATTTAATGAGAAGCTTCTTCTTCTTCCACTGACACGATAAGATCTTTAGTAAAACTCCCGGCAAGATTAATGCATCTGACAATGCTTCACAGCTGTTTAGTTACACGAAGCTTTGTTCCCGCTCCAGCATCATTAGAGGGAATCTGAATTTTGTGATTAAAACGAGCTTCAGCCAGGATCGCCGCTCTTACATCATGAAGGTATTAAGCAGCAGGGAACTCTCAGGAGGGAATCAGATGGATCTAAAGTTTGATATCCAGAGTTTCACATCAACAGTCAAACGTGCATCATTAGCTCGTACTTTAGCTCTATCAATACGGTCATTAGTGAGTACACTCATCTGTTTTAATTCCGATCTGTTTGCTTCAACTATTGCAGAGTCAAGTGAGGTTTTACCGCGGCTAAATGTGCCAAAGGATGTTGGATAAGTCATGTTAATATGCTGTGTTTGTTTAATTGTATTGACCCAAATACAGAAGAAAAGATGAGATTGTTATTGTCATTTTCCACTCATGTATTATTTCATATGTCCTCTATAAAGACACTTTGAGACAGTCTTAAGTAGAAAGTATGTTTCCATAAACATCTTGACAGACCCTAGCAAAAAGAGTCATTTTTATTAATTATGTTCCTTTTTAAAGCTCCTGTAAGTGATTTTAGGTGGGCGGTGAAAAATCTCAAAATGATGAGTGATGCATCTCTATGATGTTTAAATTAAACGCGATCGTTAACGATGACTCTGGCATTTTCTAAATCGTAATTGCAACTGCTGTGAAGGTGTGGGTACCTCAAAGAGAGAGCCTTTGTCGCTACCATGGCAACAGATTCATCATGATTGATGACTCTCACTGTATAAAACATTCATTTAAGTCAATAAGCACCAAATTAGCAACAATATAAGGTTACCACTTTTGTCCACAGGGGGCGCCAAAGTCAACACATACAGAAAGTTCCTTACAGCAGCTTTAAACGTATTTATCTACTTCATGAAAGTGTGTTAGATAATGTCGCTGTGGGGCAAATGCCATTTTGCTGCGCACTCCTCCAACTAGTGAGGCCACGTTGGCCTCCAAGGACAAATGGCTCCTGTGATGCACGTCCAATATGACCTTTTTGACACCCCAAAAAACCCTGTCTTCTTGCACACAACCAATGTCTTATTTGTCTTCAAACTGGTACACTTTGCATCGCCACTTGGAAAACATTAGAGGTGCAAAATGAGTTTATCATCTGAAGGTAACTCTGACTGTCTGTTACAATCACTCACAACAGTGTGATTTGCATACTGTAGTTTTACTGCGTCAGTTTCCTCCACAGCTGGTACCATATTGTCATTTCCCATCAAGCCTGACGCAACCATCCTTTCAGTGACAATGACAGCAAGAAATAACTCAAACCGAAAGCAGCCAAGTGAGACTAATAGAGAATAAAACAATAGCAGCGTCAACAGCAACAACTTTATAAAAAGGGAGCGCTGTGATTGGCCGCACTAAATAGTAAAACCTTGTTCTCCTATTTTATCATCGGATATCCCCTGCTGAGCATGATAACAACATGTTCCAGCGGAAAACAAAACAAAACAAAATAAAAGGTCGAAAAAAAAAAATGTCACAATACCAGTCATTTTTGGATGTGTTCCCAAAAACTGTTATCAGCCTCCTAGTTTTCACACACTTAAGCCTCAGCCAGCCAGGCCCCGTCACTCGCCATCTTGTCCTGAGTGCTGAGAGTCCCGTGCTTCTGGTTTCCAAAATAAGTCATCAACAGGAGCCTCTCTGTGGGACCAGACAAAGGGAGGCTGATAGGAGCCCAGAGCTCTCACATTATGGCCCCCAAACAGCTGAAGACAACCGCGACAGGCTGAAGCCCGGCTGGACTATAGCACTTGAATGGGGATACTGGAGTCTTAAAGCACTTCTAACCATGAAAAAGCCTTTAAATGCTTTGCATCAGGCCAGAACAAGTACAGTACATTTTGTTCCCAAATTTTTTCCCCATCTCCCCCGACAGCATGCACGGACTATTATCCTGCAGCTCCGGCTATTGGGTGTGATGTAAACTGGTGTTAATGGTATTTGAGGTCACTTCTTTAACTGTTAAAGTCTGTTTTTACCCCTAAATTACTTATACTGTCTTTAAAGTCGCGTACAACCGAGCCTGTGTATACGTTTGATCTGTAAATACTGAAGTGCAGAACTTGTTTATAGTGTCAATAGTTCAGAAAGATTAGTGCACAGTTCTCTGTCTCATCTTACAGTGATTATCAGTGTGATAAACCTCACAAAGTTGCAGCATGAGTCATGTGATTTACACCGAGATAAGCAGGCAATGTACTGAGCGCGATCCTATACATGTAGCTTCCCTTTGACTGCAGGGTACAGGGTCACACCGAGTCGAAAACTCTTCTCATTACAGCGAGGTATCAAACTACACAAGAAAACATCATCGACACAAAGAGTTCAAACTCAATCAGCTGCACCCAAATCCAAGTCTGAGGGATGAGCATGAGTCAGCCCACATGCTAGATAATAAAACCGTCACATTTCACAACCTGTGGGAGATCTGGTGTCAAAAAACCTGATGAAACACCAGAAATCACTCCAACACCTGGTCTTTGTCTGTTGAAAAATACTCAGAAATGAATTTGTCATCAAACTTAACCCGTGATCTTTCTCACATTGTTATTTATACCCTTAGATATGAGTGAGTGGACGCTGCTTATAGGCTCGCATTCGCCATCTTCGAGAAGTTCCCGCCCTCTGATCTCATTTCTCAAACAGGCCAGAATTTCTATTGATGCTTTTTTAATGACATACTATAGCAAACAAGACCAAAAGCAACAAGATTTATGTTTTTCATATTGTGATTTTAATGCCTCAAAGTGATGCAAGGGGGTAGGTGTTAGCCAAACAGCTTAAGAAAGAGTCTTGTTTTTATCATTTCCACATAAAGGAGATATTTGACCGTCAAAAGTCAGCAGGATAAGATTTTGCTATTAAAGCACATAGAAGACAAGATGATGCTTATTGGCATGGCTAATTCCAGAGCTGCCAAGTTTCAGAAAATGACAAGAGTGAGACTTTAGCATCATGATGTGTTTCGCCACCAAAGAAATTTGGCCTTTTTTAACGTTGTCAATTTATACTTCAAGACTGATGTCCTCTCCTCCATCCACCTACCGTCCGTCTTTAGGAGAGCAGGGGAATGTTGGTTGGGTTTTAGATGTCTGCGCTGTTGTGTGTGAAAGATAGTTAGAAACGCCAAGATCCGCCTTACGTTGCTTCTGATTGGTTTATATTGTGTGGTGCCTTCCTTGGTTGGTTAGATTCAGGCACAAAGGACTGATGGACCGGTCTGGGATTGGTTATCTCAGTCAGTCAATCAGAGTTACTCGAACTATGGCAAGCCAAGTTTGCCAAAGTGTGGTGTGAGAATGGGACTCAAAGTGTGATACTTGGCAGCTCTGTAATTCTCGCTAGTATGGCTGCAACATGACTTACGCTAGGGTGACCATATTCTGAATCCTCAAAAAGAGGAAACAACTACGAGAGCCAGAGTCGCGGATTCCAGCGTAGTAAGTTTTGAGGGTTTTTCGGGTCCAGTCGAGTGTTTTTTTACACACTTCTAATTCAGTAAGTCCATGTGACACAAACTCAAAACTTTGGACATTTGAAGGATTTTATAAACTCCCCCAGACAAGGCCGGACAGCCCCCCAAAAAGAGGACATGTGAGGGTAAAAGAGGACGTATGGTCATCCTAACATACATCCCCATGAGCAACAGCTGCCTGGGTGGCATCTCTGCATTTACATCCATTATCTATTTTCAGTCACTTTATATTTCAGCTCCACATTATGGAGAAGAAATCAAACATGGAAAAGTTTTCTGTGCAGCTTTTTTTCTGCAAATCTACGAGAAACTGACTTTGTCTTTTTGATTGCACCAATTTGATGCACGACCTTTAGGTAGCCAGAATAAGCGAACTAAAGTGGCCTTTCGCTCCATCTACAGTCACTAATGCCAAACCAGGCGTGTTTTCTATTTTAAGATAACTTCCGAACTTATCTTTGTGTCACAGCTGGGAACTTCTACATGTTGGGTGAGGAATCGGCTCAGTTAAGCCGCTTTTTAACCACGCGGGGAAACATTTCCAGAGCAGCTGCTATGATCACCAATAATGTGCCAGTGACTGTTTTTTGACCCTAGAGTTTTTTTGTAGGTGATAAGACAAGAAAATCTCAGAACGAAGATGAACTGGTTGTTTTTTAAACGTTGATGTGTTTTTGAGCTGTGTTGAAATAACTGCAGCAGCTTTTCCACAGGAACCATCCCAGATCGTCTCCCAGGAGACTGTCCCAAACAGGACCGGCGTAACTGGGAGAGCTTGTTTTAAGAGCAGTTTGTCCAAACTCCACATTCAGATGCTGATAAGTGAAATTGAAAAGCATGTTCTAATGACCTTTGTACTGTGATTCAATCCAATTGAGAGAAGAATTTGATTTCTTCCATGGTCGGAGCATTTCTTTTGGCAGAGAGTCTCTTGGAGACAAACAAAGAGGAAGAAGCAGTCAAGAAAAGCAGAGTAAAGGCACCTCAGAGAGGAAGCCAGATGCAGCCAGATGCAGCCAGATAGAAAGGGAGGTACTGGATAGATGGTGCAGAGTGAAGGAAGAGATGAGGAGGAATGGCAAACGCCGAAGAACTCTCAGGACGGCTGCTTGGAGGGAAAAGAGCAGCCCCTCTAACCAAGCGCTTTTTTGCTCCGGTACAAATCACTGCTCGGCCCGGCAGGCCCAGAGGGGAGAGCACTTTTCTTCACCTCATCGTCAGGCTTTGGAATCCTGTTCTACTTTTCCAGATGGCTTCAGCAGCAGACTTCGCTGGTCCTGCTTCCGTTGACCCGCCCAGTTATCCCATCCGTCCAACCCAAGCAACCCAGTCACCACTGGCTTTAACTGTGCGGGACTGGGAACCTAATCCCAGTGACTCGCTGGAGACCAATTTGTGAAGTGGTTGATGGAAATCCCTACCCCCCTATCTCTGGCAGAGCTTCGCCTGCACCCAGCGAATGGACTAATTGATTTACGGTTAACCGAGTGGAAGGATCAAAACGTCCCGTCTCTGTTCTTTGATGGCTGGATGAACCTCGGGCAAATTTAATCACAGGAGACTTTATTGAAGTCTGAACACAGCGTGAACTCAGAGTCCGAGAAGTTTCCAAGAGAAGTCATCGTCCACGCCGACCAAAGGTTCCTAACTCACTGTAGCTAACTCTGTTCAGTTGGTATATTGGAGGATTGTGGGAAATAAACACGGTCTATGAATTTTATAGAGCCGGATTGCCAGAGACATAGATTGTGCAGACATTATAGAGCTCTAAACTGAAAAACTCAGAGTCAAGAAAACACAGTCGACCCTGTTAACTGGATGCTAAATCGCACATAAACTATAAAATATAAATGAAACCATTACAATTAAAAATGGTGGCTTCGGGGGCTATGATCTGAGTCGTCGCTAACTTTTTCTACTTTGCTTCGTTGATAACATTAACACGCAGACGTCTGTTCAAATGCTAGAGTCAAAAAAGATGTTTATGAGACCTGGAATAATAAGAAAGTCGTCGGCTGGAAGCGCTAAAATGTCAAGTCGTTCATGTGGAACTTGTCTGGGAAAGAACGGTTTATCAAATTGGAGCCGGATGCAGTCCTTCACTGCTAACTTTCTCTTTTGGTTCTGGTGGAAATACTTACAATCTGAGCGACACACCACATAAGACAACCAGTGTGTCGCAGGTGCGTAATTGAGCCGTTCTCCCATTCTGCTGTGGGACATTTGAGACTATTTATTGAGGCTAGTGGGGCTCTTGGAGTCCTCTCAGTTTCCACCAGCTGAAAAAGACTTTCCAGCTTAGATAGGAGCCGGCTGAAAGGCAGAGCCAAGTAAGAGCCAGGTTTTGGACTCCAGGCCAAAATTTTCCCCAGCTGCTTCCACCAAAGCAATATGCAGACCCAGGTGTTCGGGCGAGATTTGAAATCCAAGCCCCCACAGTTTAACTGTTCCACAACCCCCAATCCCGTATCTTCTCTCTCTTTATCCCTCCTCGGTGCTCTTAAGGCCATATCTTTTGTCTTTTTTTTGTTTTTTTCTTCTAGCTGGCACGGACAAAGCTGTTATTATTAGAGTGCACTGGGTTACTCTAAAATTAAAAGAGGACGTTTCAAACAACTTTTTCCGTACTGAACCTCACGTTCCGTACAGGATATCGTAAATCCTATACCCTCCCAGCGTGAAAATAAAAAAGAGCAACACTGAAGAAATAGACATGAGCTTTCCCCAATGTGCGTATCAGTTGGATTAAGAATTACTTGCTGCATTAAATCTGCTCCAGCCATGTTGGCAGGCGGACGTGGACATCACTCTCACTCTCTTGTCTGTTTCCTCTTTAAACGCCTTTTACGTCATCTCCATAATGTCAAGTCTGCGGTCTGTTTCTACTGATTTAAAGGCCCCGGGATGTCTTTTCTATAAGCTAACATCCCATCCTTTAAGTTGGGAAAACAGCAAAATAAAGTTAGTGAAACAGCCCACGCCCGCAAGCTCGCCCTCCTGGAGTGGAACCATCAACACCTTCTGCAAATGATGAAGAAATCCACCATTTTTAGTCTTAAAACTTCACAACAAGCACGTGAAGGTGATTTGTTTTTATAACTCCTACATACTGATGACATTAAAGCTGAAAAATGTGCTTAATAAGGTAAAGGAGGGCGTCTTAAAGGACTGACAGGTGGGCATGTAGTAGCTGTTCACCTCTTCGCAGGTTTAGAAGTGAGTTAAGGACAGCTTCGACAGCATGAGCGCCATCATTACCGGGCTGACACCTCTTTAACGCCTCTACAGAAACCATTGTGTGATATTTCTGTTATAAATAGTGAGTGTAAATGACACAGGAGCCTTTGTGCAACAACTCTCATCAGCTCTAATGTCATTTAGGGTTAGCTTTAAAATATCTTTAAGTGTTAAACCATCCAAATATCAGGGTTAGAAGAGAAAAAAAAGTGCTTAGATAGGGTACGAACTTGACCCACATTTATGGGATGGGAAAGACTGTAACCTTAAAAGGTAAATTAACGTAAATTATTTAGGGTGACCATATTCTGAATCTCCAAAAAGAGGACACGACTAAGCAGGGACTTTGAGAGTTTTTCGGGTCGGGTCAAGTGTTTTTAACGAGCTTCTAACTCAGTTAGTCCATGCAACACAAACTCAAAACTTCCATACAAAACCCCGCACATTTAAAAGCATTTTATAAACAAAGACAAGGACGGACAGCCCCCCAAAAAGAGGACATGTCTGGATAAAAGAAGACGTATGGTCTCCCTAAATTATTATGTTATCTTAATCTTATCAAATCCATGAAAAGGAAGTGAAGAAATCCCAGAAATAGAGGGGTGGACATGGGTGCTAGAAAGAAGCAGGTCCACGATCCAGAGGAACCTGATGGAGCTCAGGGACTCCCAGAAAAAAATATTTATTATTGACTCTAATAGGACATGATAGGACAGAAAAAGGATGGAGGAGGGAAAGGTGCTCAGTGTAAGCAGTCTAAATCTACAGAAGCCGAACTAATAGGGCGCTCACACCAAGCGCGAGTAAAATCATCCACTCGCTTAATTTGCGCAAATCTAGACACGTGAATGAAAAGTATTTACTCGCTTCATTCGCGTGTCAACGGTAATCCCTGCCAATACAACCTGCGGGATCAAGTGATAGACAAATGTTTTTTTCAATTTACCGGGTAATCCGACCTCCTCACTCAATCGCCTCCAGGCGAGCTCCTTTTTATTCCAGTTTCAGTAACTGAAAGAAAAGGTATCATATAATTCCTGGCACCCACACACTGACACAATCAGTTTTTCCTCCATTTTAGATACCAGTGAACAACCGTCCATCACCCGGCAACCTTTGTGCTGATTAGTTATAGCATCATGAATATCTGCTCAAGTTGAGACATTTTCAGCTTCTGCCTAATTCACGTCATTCGCACCGCTAGAGTAGTAGGAGCGTCTAATCGCGTCTTTGCATTGACTTAACATGTAATTCATTCGCGCGAATGATTTTACTTGTGCTTGGTGTGTGGAGACAGTAAGAGCTAGTCCAGACCTGAACCAGATCAACTATAAGTTTTATCAAGATTACTCTTATAGGTAGAGAGGGTGTTCGACTTCCTGCACTTTGACTGGTAGATGATTCCAGAGGAGATGGACCTAGCTAGACCACTTTTAGGGACTCAAGGTTCGATGAGCAGGCCTGCACATTTGGACCACAGTGGTAATAGGGAACTGCAAAGTCTTTCAGATATGATAGGTTAGAAAAAGAAATGAAATAGATTTGTCTGCTGAAATCACTGCTAAAAACTCTAATTTTAGAAATCCCCTTGAATGAAAATGTAAAGTTTAAACAGTTGTAATCAGTTGACATAATAATGCCACTAATAAATGTGTTTGTTTTGACATCTCTGTGGTAAAACAGTGTCCTGCTGATAGTTCACACTGCGCCCCTCCCAGCTGATTACTGCAAAAGGAGTCGATTAATTATTCATGTGGACAAATTGAGTAATTCCTCTGCATATATAATACATTCCATCAGGAATTAGCTGCACGTCATGTGTTGGGCGAGGGAGGCGGTAAAACGTATGTGTGTGTGTGTATGTGCGTGCATGTGTATTAAGGGGGGATTTAGGTTAATGAGAAAAGTTCACAGAAAGTCCACCCTCCCTGATTCCATCTTCAGCTCCCAACACAAAGGCAGGCAGAGTCCACATGCAGTTGCAGGGAAGAAAGACGAGGTGACAGGTTCAAAAGTTCAGCCACTGCTTTAGACTCACTTCGCATGCCACTACCATTCGGCACACCCTGGTCCTTTGGAGATGTCAGGGGGAACCTCATTTACTGTTCTGTACCCAGCGCTGGGTGGCAAGACTCTCCACAGGGGAATACCAAAGTGGGAAGAAGAGGAGGAGGGGGGAAGTGCTGTGAAAAAGAGCCCCTGTCCCTGCCACGTCCTCCTTGATGAATTTGTAAAACAGATCCATGATGTCTCACTGGAGACAAGTTGTGCCATGGCCCCCTTTTCAGATGCGCTAATCTCTGAATGGTTGTTACCATCACATGAGATACCGTGAAATCAATTCCTTCACCTGCGACCTCTGAATGCTATGGGATGTTTAAGTGTCACACAGTAAATAAAATACAGTATAAAACTCCCAGAACAGCACTCTTCCTCTCTTTCTCCTTGTATATTCCTAATTTTAAGACTTGGGAATAGACCGGTCTTTATCTACGGTGACAAATGTTGATATAATCTTAAATTTATTGATGTCTCGACCTCTTTATTTAATTTAACTTTCACTACAACTTTGAAGACGTCTTTTATCACCTCGAACCATATCACCATACAGGGTTATGCTCCTAGATCTCCTGAGAGAGATCCTCTCCCAGTAGAGATCCCAATCAGATATTACGCAACTGCTTTTACTGGCTCTGGAGTCGAGATCCTGATAGTGAGCTCTGGAGAGCCGTTTCATAATCTGACGGATGACGTACCTGCTCGCTCTACATGGTGGTTTATGTATCACTGCCATAATACACAAATGAGACCCAGTAGATCACAATGGACGCAAACCTGCATGGAAGTAAAGTCTAGAACCAGATTTAAAATTTCTGCTGTTAAAAAAAAGAAGAGTTAATATGAAAGTGCAGAAAACTGTAGTTCCTTGATTGTCCACTGGAGGCAGAATCCCTACATTGGTCCTATTTAAAAATAAAGCGGGGAAACATTTTTGCCTCTTTTAGACAAAAATACCTCAAGATTACTAAAGTCAGACTGTTGACTATTAGTCTACTACTAGTATTGGGTCTGGGGCTCATTTATTTACTTGCACACTGTAAACTACGACAAGAAACTTTGCCCAAAAAACACTCAAACCTAAAGACACTGGGAAAATCAATAGGAGATCAGGTATAGATATGACATACATTCACATACAGACAATGAACCAACGAAGAAAGAAGGGAGGACAGAGATTATTTAGACACACTCGTAAATGAGCAACAGGTGTGACTGACGAGACACAGGTGAGACTCGTTAGTGATTGACAGAGGAGGGAAAACAGAGCAAGTAGAAACCAGACTGATAAACACAAGGATTGACTACTACAAAATAAAACAGGAAACACTGAAAACTGAACTAAGAAACCAAACTGTGAAAAACATGAATAACAGGAACAGAATAACCCATCTGTGGAGACTAAAATAAAGGTTAAAAGTTAAAAATCTGCCTCTTTTGCTCTTTTCAACTCCTCAGGTCGAGCCAGCGTTTCTAAGACAACCGTGCCTGCTATCATTTGGCTTAAAACAGCCCTCCAGAAACCGATGGGTGAAGCAACAGAGACCGTGTGTATGTTCTTAATAATATGTGGTCTATATCGATGGTTCCCAGCCTGGGGTCTGGAAGCCTTGGCTGATAACACAAGTTTTGGGACATTTATGCAATATTTTTCCCTCACTCCTGTTGGCACTGGTGCGAGAGTACATAAAATCTCATGACATATCTAAAAAAAAAAAAAAAAAAAGTCAAGCTTATGCCAGAAACTTCTAAGGTATTGTTGGAAATTCATCAGCGATGCGTCTATTTTTCTTTGTGGTGCATTTCCACCAGAGGCGCCTGAAACCTGAACCGCTTTGTCGTACTTTTTTGGCACCCGTCAGCAGAGCGGTCCAGTCTGCAACTACAGTGATTAAGATGGAGTATCTGACTATGATCTGATTAAACACTTGTTTTAAGTGAATGTTACTCCTTTTTTCTTTGTTTTTCTAACAAAGCAAACAAATCAGACTTTTTCTTTGTAAGTTGATCACATCTACAACCACAGTAAATATTTCATTCTCATATCTTAAGCAGGGTACACACATAAAGATAATCGGGCTGTTTTTGTCCCGATTTTCCCCTTCCTAATCAAGGACAACAACCGGAAGATTATCGTATGTCTTCTAAGATTATCCTATCAGATTATCCTGTGGTCTGAGGTGTATTAAGAGTGAATTTGTCCCGATAATTGGGTCTGAAACAGGTTGGGGCCGACAATCGGGGAATGTGGGGAAAGCCGACGACTCCCGAGTCATGACTCTGTGAATTGTCACATGAAACGGAATTTATCCAATCAAGACACGAGTTGACTGAGGAACAGGGAACCGAGTAAAGCGAATAAAAATAAAGCATGGCCTATTTATTTGTGATACTAGGATAATCACACCAGTCACTAGCCTAACCTCTAGCTCGCTTAGTAGACTACAAAGTCTGCATTCACGCTGTCTCTGGGATTTTTTCCGCGGTCAAAAATACTCCCAAAACCACCATCATTCCCTCCTCTTGTGTGTCCTCTTCCATGTTGCGTCTTGTGTTTCCCGGTTGTTGCTATGTTTAGATCCAATTTATCACGCGAGATTTCTGTCTTGGAGGACTAGATTCTAGATCGGTGGTGTGACAGAATCGTTTTGTGTGTGGTGTGCTGTGTTGCGATTATCGGGGCACACCACTCAGAGTCAATCAAAACTGTTCAACGCCTGATTTTTTATCTTCATGTGTGGGGTCCGTAACAGATAAAAAAGCTTTAAACGTCACTGGTACAGAGAAAAAAGTTGCCCTCAGTTTACAGATTTTCTGCATGACGTTGACCAACATTCGTACGTACTGAAACTGGACCCTTCGGTGGAAAAGGACCCATTAGACGCATAAATCGGATAAAGATTGATGCAAATAGGTTCTCAAGCACAGTTACATGTTCAGTGTTTCTTATATGACCTTTTAAGTCCTGCCAAAAACATAATGCACAGCAAATATAGTCTAAAAATCAAGCTCTGCATTGGAAGCAGTTCAGTTTCTTAACAAAGACGAATTTGTTCAGCCGTTAGCGTTCTGATTGCTCTGGTTTTGCATGTATCAACACACCTGTGTTTTGTTTACCATATGGTGTCCATCCCGAGAGAAAGCTCAATGCACACATTGAACTTAACACAGAATATACATACTTTAACTCAACTTCTCTCCCTTTTTTTCGTATTTAATTATTTGGCTGACCCTTTTGCTCTAAAAAAAAAGTTCAGCCAAAGGAGATGTGGGAGAAACCCACGAGAACGAGAACACTCAGTTATCAAAAGCTGCAACAATGAGCTGCTGCCGTGTTGTCTGCTTGGATCGGAGGAGAATGAGGGTGTTTTTGGCTTTAATTTTCATTAGAATGATAAAAATCCAAGCGTCAGAACTGATAAGCAAATTTAAATCAGTCCAGTCCAGCGCTTAAATACATCCACACTCATGTGTTACTTTTCCTGCCTGCAGTGAATATGTTTTCCCATGAACGAGGGCAGATGTATAACTTAATCCAGGTGCGGACATGTGCGATAACATTCACGTTCGTCTTTGTCTCATTCTATACGTGAGAAAGTATAAGTTGGAGGGATAAAGCGTAAGGGGGAAAGGACGAGACCTGCCTGATGTTTCCATTACTCTGCACCTCTCTGCACGGATGGGGCCTCGCCACGTCACGGAGCTGTTGCCGTGTGGCCGACCTCCAGCCTCCTGACAGCCTGTCTCCGATCCCGCTGTGGCTCGCCGCCCACCAGTTCACTTTGAATTATCTCCCGAGTCAAAGGCGCTCTGAGGAAATCCAGGAGTGCAGGATCAAAACCTTGTGGAGGTTTTATCCCGTGAAGCTCCTCTTTGGTCACCTCCAGGAGTGGCACAGCTCTGCTCTGAATAATCGCGATTATTTGGACCCATTTTACCTTCTTCTCTTTTTTTTTCAAATAAGGAGCATCAGTCTGAAGTTTTTCCACTTCACAGATTGCAGCACTAGATTGTCTTCGCTCCCTGGAGTTGGGTGGACATTATAGCTCACTTAAAGAAGAATGTTGGAGTGAAGCTTTTATTTGATTTATGAAGTGATACGTGACCTGACGTTTTTACCGCAGTGCTACTGTCAGGGCGCCATGGTCATTAAGCAACAAATTCAGCCGAGTCAGACAGACTCATGACACTCCTCCGCTCTATCTGTCTGCTATCAAACTATGTCAAACACAAGACTCCATCTGCTGTGCTCCTCTGTCCCGCCTCGAGATCTGGGGATGAGTCAAAACATTTTCTATCAGGGAGTGGAAGCCTGACTTTGGGAATTTTATCACAAATCATTTGATTAAAAAATATTTCAGTTTGATTCATATTTAAAATAAACTGGAACAAGGACAGGTTAAGACCATGACAGCATGAGAAAGTTCAACAGTTTCAGGATACTGTTCCTCAAAGATTTTGGCGGGATTTCACCATCTACAGTAAATACAATTCCCAGTTTCCAATTCATCAATGTAACCAGTCTCCCTGTGCTTCTGTAAGAGAGTTCAACAAATGAAAAGTGTCAACAGCAAAACAGTTGTTAAAATCGTATCATGAAAATAGAGGGAACCACATTTTAAAGTGATCCTGAGGGACTGTGCTTATTTAAGATTAGTCTTTTATCCAGACATGTCCTCTTTTTTGGGGGGCTGTCCAGCTTTGTCCTGGGGTGTTTATAAAATCCTACAAATATCCGGAGATTTGGATGAAATTTTTGAGTTTGTGTTGCATGGACAAACTGAGTTAGAAGCGATCCGACACAAAACGCCCCTGCGTAGTCATGTCCTCTTTTTGGCAGTCATCATGCTTTAGATGATTTGAGCTTTTATGCTTTGCAAAGATATGATATGAAAGAGTTGAACTTTTGTGCCATGCATTGTGCAAGGGATATGACAATGCTTATGTTCCTCATTGTGTAAGGGCAACGAAACTACTGCAAAAGTGACAGTTTGTGGAAGAACTAGTTAGAGAGGGACTGACCGAGAACTCGAGCAGTTCTCCTCAGCCGTTCTTTCCTTGTACAAGTAAAACGCCTTTGGTCTCTTCTGTGTTCCTGAATCCTCCGAATTGTTAAGTATGTCCACTTGAACCTGACAGTGAGAAACTGTCCTGTGGTTTACAGCATCAAAATGTGGCTCAGAAGTAGAAGAGTCCTGGTGCTAAACTGACATGCCTGCAGCCCGGACTTGTCAATCACTATCAGAAGTTTGGCACATCCTGAAGTAAGAAATATGACGAAGAAGATCCTGAACAGTTAGGCAGCTGACGTCCTGTCTGTCATGTCTGCTTCTGTATTTTCTAACTGTTGTTAAACACTAAACTTAAAGCTCCTATGAGGAACTTTTTTGACAAAGACTGAAATTTATATTAGAGAGTTTTTGTGAAAATTAGAGGCAAACAGGACCTTTAGCAACAAAACTGATGAGTTTTAACTGTAACTGTTGATGCCTAAAATCAGTGTGAGAGTGTAAGTGTGTCTGGAGCCGCTAAAGAAAAGTCCTGTTTCAAGTATTTAACATTAATTATTCATTTAAATCACAAATTTGACAGTGAAAAGTCAGCAGGATCACCACAGGGGGCGCCAAAACTAACACAAAAGTTCCTCACAGGAGCTTGAAATTGAAACTGAAAATGACAATATTTCTCACCGTCTCCACTGTCGTCTTTACACTATTTTTAGTTTAACTTCCACAGAATCAGATCTGGATTTTATCGCATATTTTACAACTTACCCAACTTTTTAAAATTATTTACAAAGTCAAATCTTCGGATTGATCCTCATGAGAGATTTGCCTCTCGGGCAGTGTTTTGGCATCTCTTCTGATCTGACTGACAGCGTAGAATAACAGAAATTAATGCGAGTAAATCCGCAAGACCTTGTGTTGACTCAGGATTAGGGCGTAATTACTGAGTCACTGATACTTTGCCTCGACATACGACAATACTTCTTTCCACTCACTCACAGACAAGAGTAAAACATGCACGCCGACTCCTCTGCACTCATCGAAAATATTAGATTTAAAAACGTGTCTTCGCATGCAGCCGGGGAAAACAACTTAAACCGAGGGGACAAACAGTACCGACCTCTATAAAAGAGTTTTTTATTGTCAGAGCACGCTGCAAATTCAGCGAAAACACATTAATAACAACTTCCAGTATTGTTTTGTTGACAGCAGTGAGTCCTGAGAAGGCACCACTATTTTAAGGGCTTTGGTATGCGGTCAGAAGGCCAATTGGACTGCATGTGTCCTACGCTGAAATCAAGCAGCTGCAAAATTACAGTAGCGTGCCCTCACCGCAACCGACTGGAGCTGTGCAATTAATCAGAGGTTAGGCCGACAACCCCGCAGAACTGGTGCATAATCTCTAATTTACAGACCTTCTCTCTTTGCATGCACAAACACACACACACTCACACACGCACACTCGCACAGATTGAGACGCTGAAGCCTTAGCTGCAGACAGACTGGAAGTTCTCCCAGTGGAATGTGGGTAAACATGT